ACAAAGCCCTTGAATTGTGCTGTGAAAACCAGTGGAACACAATTGTCATATGCAGTGATTCACTGTCAGTATTGCACTCCTTACAAAACTTTAAATTCACAATCAATAGCAACATATTCATATTAGAAATTTTTCAACAGTTACTAAAACTATCAGATCCATATGGTACTAAATTTCTATGGGTCAAGGGACACTCAGATATTGTTGGCAATACTATTGCTGATTCTATAGCTAAAAATCCATTACAGCACCCACATATGGTGATAGAAGAATTTAACACATGTGACCTGATTAAATTTAAATGGGACAGACAATGGATTCAGTTTGGTGAAAGCAGGGGCACTAATTTATACAAATTACAACCCACAGTAGATGTAAAACAATTTTACAAAGATGTTACACTAAGCAGAAACACAGTGGCAACTGTCTTAAGATTAAAAGTAGGTCATGGATGTTTCCCGAAACATCTACACAAAATAGGAGTTCTCCCAACAGACCGATGTGAGTGTGGAACTAGTATAGCTGATTTAAATCACATATTCTTTAACTGCCCACTACATCGTAATACAAGCACGTGGCGGTTAAAAGAATTGATAAAAGAGGGATTAAGTACACCACTAAACGTAAATCTCTTATTAAGTGAAGACAATATAAAAATCTTTAAAATAGTTATGATATTTCTTGTAAAAATTAAATTAAAGGTATGAGTGTAAAATTGATCGTATGCTTGAACATTTCCTTTGTATGTTTACCATATATGTTGCCCACCTACCTAACCGTGGTTTACGTCTTGTTTGTTACAATAAAGCCGCTCTGATGAATCCCTGAGCGTGAAAAGTGTCCTCCTTGTACAATCCTGTATGAATGAATACTAATATTTATATGTAATTACGTGGCTAAAGGTTTCAAGCCAAAGCCATAAAAGAAAACAATGTCAAAAGGGCCTTAGTTGTGTATCTTTGGTTCTGTTAGTCCAATCATGACGTGCAGTACCTCAAATGAAAGGATTTAACAAATAAAATACAATGAGGTACAATGAGGTAATGGAGTAGCATGTCAAAAGGGCCTTAGTTATGTACCTTCGGTCCTATTAGGCCAATAGTGACGTACGATATCTCAAATGATAGCACTTAACCAATAGAATACAATAACTTAAAATTGGAAATTAAATACAGGAACACGTAAAAAGAGCCTTAGTTATGTATCTTCTTTTTAGTAGCACAATCGTGACTTACAGCACCTCAAATGATAGGATTCAACCAATAGAATACAATGAGAAAGAAAAAAAAAATACAGCAGCATGTCAAAAAGGCCATAGTTGTGTTTCTAAGATCCTATTAGTCCAATCGTGACGTTTCGTACCGCAAATGATAGAATTTAACTAACGATACTATGACTTCCGAGATAAAACCACTTCGCAATCGAATTTTGTACGTCGATGCGCATGACGTCACTTAGCGATAAAAGTTTATCTTTAATTTAATAGTCTGAAATATGTTTTATATAAAATGCACACATTTATTTGTCAACGTACAGGATAAACAATAAAACAATACTAAATCTGACAAAACTCCATGCAAAACAGAACATTTCTGGTGATATTTGTCGCCAAGTGACGTCACACGTGCAAAAGAGATAGACTGATCGCGTGCGCGTGGGTTTATCTTTAGTTCATAGTATCATGAATTTAACTAATAGAATGCAATAAGATATAAAAATCAAATAGAGTAGCGTGGCGAAAGGGCCTAGTTATGTGTCTTCTATCCTATTAGTCCAATCGTGACGTACAGTACCTCAAATGATAGCATATAACAAATAAAATACTACGACGTAGAAATCAAATACAGCAACACGTCAAAAGAACCTTAGGTATATATCTTTGCTCCTATATATGCTGTGTCAAAAGAGCCTTAGTTACGTATCTCCGGTCCTATAGGTCTAATCATGATATATAGAGATTAAATTAATAGGATTTGACGGAGATAATACGATGGTGGAGACAAATTAAACATGGCGGCATGTAATAACACCGTAAACTGGCAGCAATAAAACGTATTAACCCACAGAGGTGTATGGCATATCACTTTGATGATATTATTATTATTTGTTATTATGACAAGATTTAGCGAATAGTATACGATTACGTCATACATCTCTTTGCATACCTCCACTTTTAGTTAACTACTGTACATATTGAATAAAGTTTTTATTTCTGAGCCTTCAGAAGTTTGTGGACTGTATTTCTTGTATGAAAAATAATTATTCTGACTGTAACACTTTTTATTATAATAATCTTATAAAAGCTTAAAATTAACAAAAACAAAAAAGAATGTCTTATTTCTTCTGCTTGACAGCTACGCGTGGTGTCGTTGTCGCTAGTGTTCGATGCATGCGCCCTGTGTCCCGTGCAGGGACGGCTCTTGCACTGTTGACTGCTGAACATGCCGCCCCCCTTGAAATGCTTAAGTGATGCCTTTCAAACAACGCTTCTTGTAAACCATAACCATTATTGTTCATCCATTGGCAGGACGGCTAACTTTACACAAGGCCTTTTGAATTCACCTTTAGAAGTACGCACAGTCACAACCCGCACAACATTATCTGTCCCAGCATGTAGTTGCAATATTCTACCCAATTCCCATTTAGTAGGAGGAAGACCATCCTCTTGAATAATAACCAATGATCCAATTTTCACGTTGTCAGCTGCTGTTCTCCATTTGGTTCGCTGCTGAAGTGAAGAGAGGTACTCACGTGACCAGCGTACCCAAAAACTCTGAATTATCTGAGTCAGGTGATGATACCGTTTCAACTTATTCGGATTTATTTCAGTTAGCTCTTCTTGTGGCAGTGCTACAAGTGGTGCTCTAATTAGAAAATGTCCAGGGGTGAGTACACCAAGGTCTTCAGGGCTTTCCGACAGAGGTAATAAAGGACGGGAATTTAGGAGAGACTCAATTTGCGTCAACAAAGTATACATTTCGTCATATGTAAATTTATTATTACACATTACCCTTCGTATATGAAACTTTACCGATTTTACAGTTGATTCCCAGATGCCACCAAAATGTGGTGAGTGAGCTGGAATAAAATGCCAATGAATCTTATGTTCCGAAAAATAATCTAAAAAATTTGATTTTACCGTTGCATCATTCATAAATCAATATAACTCCTGCAAATGATTATTTGCCCCAACGAAGTTAGTTCCATTATCAGAATACATATTTTTACATAGACCTCTTCTAGCAATGAAACGTTTAAATGAATTTAAGAATGAATTAGTACATAAATCATATACAAGTTCAATATGTGTCGCCCTTGTTGTAAAACATGTAAAAATACATATAATGTATAATGTAAATACACAATTATAAAATGGCCTTGTAGGCAGAAGTCTAGATTTAGGTAAACCTCCCATAAGAGGTACAAGCAATGTAGGTTTGACACGAAAGCAAGTAACACATTTATGCAGAATGTGCCTAACCGTGCTACGTCCAGATAATAACCAAAATTTTAAACGAATTATTGATAGCAATGCTTGTGGACCTGCATGCAAGTATTTATGATGATACAATATCACTATAAGTTTACTTAATACATGGCCGTTCGGAAGTATGATTGGATGCTTCTGGTCAAAAGACAATTCTGACTTTTGAAGACGTCCACCAACTCGTAATAGTCCTTTATCATCAAGAAAAGGATTTAATGATAAGATTTTACTCGATTTATGTATTGGTTTTGATTTTTTTATTGTTTGTATTTCCTGATGAAATACTTCATTTTGTGCCATATATACCAAACAGAAAAAACTTCTTTCTTTTTCATCTACAGTAAAAGGACCCGTTGTCTTATTATTAGATGATTTACAATTGGTGACAAACCGAAGTATATATGCAAAAACACGCTGCAATTTAGCTAAGCTGGAAAATCGGTTCCAAATTTCAGCAAATTGCACAGTTGATATAAATGTTTGAATTACCTTCTGGTCAGGTATGATAGAAATGTGTGAATTTGACAAAGCCTTAGTAGGCCAAGACAATTTATGAGAAGCTAACCATGGTGGCCCATTCCACTACAATTTTGAAGTGTTTAATAACTTTGGTTCATATCCGCGCGTAATTATGTCGGCTGGGTTATCATGCGAGTCAACATGATGCCAGCTATATCCATTAGAAAGCCTTTGTATTTCCGACACCCTATTTCCAACGAAGGTTTTCCATTGTGACGGTTCACCCAAAATCCAATAAAGAGTTATCATTGAATCAGACCAAAAATGTACCTCATCAAAGCTAACACCTATTGTTGCGATAACCTCCGATGCCAATTTGGCAGCCAATAAAGCACCACACAATTCCAATCTAGGCAAAGATATTGTTTTTAAGGGTGCTACCCTTGATTTCGCACATAATAAATGAACTAAGCAAGAACCACCTTGATCCAGTGACCGAATGTAGAGTGCTGCGCCATAAGCAGACTCTGAAGCGTCACTGAAACAATTTAATTGTCTATTAATTGGATTAGAACACAAAACTTGCCTGCTAATGTGAGTTTTCTCCAAATCTGCAATTGATTCCCTAAACTGGTTCCAAGCTGTGTGTAAATCTAAAGGTAAAGACTCATCCCAATTTAATTTTAATTGCCATAGTGATTGCATTATTAATTTAGCTTTAATTATAACTGGCCCTACTAGTCCAAGAGGATCAAATATCTGTGAAACTAAAGACAGAACTGTTCTTTTGCTAACCTTTGTGTAATTAGAAAAATTGATTTTATATTGAAGCGAATCTATCTTTGAGTTCCAATAAAGCCCTAATGTTTTTGTTGTAACATCATCTGCAAGATAATGTTCAATGTCTCCCTTTATTTGAATATCCTCATCAAAAATTTCAGGTTTGTTTGATACCCATTTTCTAAGTGAAAATCCTGCTGTGCACAAAATATTATTTAATTCATCCTTTAATGATTTTACTTCTTCAATTGAACTCCCTCCTGTAAGCAAATCATCAACATATAAATCCTTTAAAATCACCTGGGAAGCTAGAGGCAGGTTCAATTGATTCTCATGAGCTATTTGTTGTAAGCTTCTTATAGCCAAAAATGCTACTGGAGCGGTCCCATATGTTAGCGTTTTCAGCTTGTATGTCTCAACTGGTTGCTCATCCGAAAACCTCCATAATATTTGTTGTAGTTTTGGCTGAGTTTAAAAATGTATCGACAAAAACCTGTCGATACATCTTTTCGATGTCTGAAGCTATAACTACATTATGTTTCCGAAAACGAAGAAGAATGCACATTAAATATCTTGTAATTTTGGTCCGACCATTAGAACATCATTTAATGACAAACCACTGTCAGTTCTAGCTGACCCATCAAACACTACCCTTAATTTTGTAGTTAAAGACGTTTCCTTTAAAACTCCATGATGTGGAAGATAGTAGTTGGGTGTTTCTGAATTGAAGTCAGTTTTATCTTCAACCTTTGACATGTGACCCAACTGGATATATTCCTGCATAAACTCATGGTATTTAATTTTCATTTCCAAATTTTTATTTAATTCATTTTCCAATAATTGAAATCTTTTTAGTGCATTACTATAAGAATCTCCTAAGTCAGAAATGTTTGACGTTGTTGGTAATTTAACAACAAAATGACCGTTTTCATTTTTAATCGTGCTAGCTTCAAACAACTCTTGACAATAAATGTCCTCCTTGGACATAACCTTTTTTGCACCAAATTCTTCTATTAACCAAAATTTTTCAATTTGGTTTTCCAAAACATTAGACGAAAAATTACATACCACTGAATTGTTGCTAACCTTAATTGATTGACTAACTGGCCCTGAAATAACCCATCCCAACTTAGTTTTTTGGAGAATTGGTTGATCTTTGCCAAGTTTTATCTGACCCACACATAATAATTGCCAAAAAACTGATGCTCCCAGTAATACATCAATTTGTTTTGAAACCCCAAATGTTTCATCTGCAAGTGCAATGTTTTTAGGAATATTTATAAAATCCAAGTTTAAATCCGAAGTTGGTAAATTGTCAGAAATTTTATCAATTACCAATAAAAATGCATTTGTTTGATAATTGCTAAACTTTGATAAAAGTGTCCCATTTAATGCCTGAGAAATGTTTGTTATACCTTGACCTAAACCTTTAACCGGAATGTGTACCTTATCTGCCTGTAATTGTAATTTTTCAAAAAATGAACGTGATATAAAATTTGACTGTGAACCTGAGTTCAATAAAACTCTACATTCATGCAAAATTCCATATTTGTCTTGCATATATACTAGGGCCGTTGAAAGTAAAATATCAGTTTTTAATCTGTATGATATACCTTGCTTAGAATGATTTAAAAAATTAATTGAATCCTGACCTATATCACCCGAATGTGATTCTAAAAAACATGTCTGACCTATATCACCCGAATGTGATGCCAAAAATCATGTCTGACCTATATCACCCGAATGTGATTCCAAAAAACCTGTCTGACCTATATCACCCGAATGTGATTCCAAAAAACCTGTCTGACCTATATCACCCGAATGTGATTCCAAAAAACCTGTCTGACCCAAAAAGTTTAATTGAGATGTACCTTCCATTGAATTATTATGGAATGCACCTTGTCCCTGAATATGTACTTCCTTTCCCTGATTAGATAGGCCATTTCCCTGTGTGTGTGTTTCTTTCTGGGTAGATATACCACAAATTTGTGATTCAACCTTTGATCCGTTGAGTTGAGTTGCATTTGTTTGTAAATGAGAATTGTTTATAAATTTACCATCCATATGTAAAAGAGTATTGTGTCGTTTTCCACAAAGTTTACAACCTCCCCATGTACAATGTTGTACTGTGTCCATCCTTTAGACAGTTCCAACATGCTTTTGATTTTGTTACCTCTTGTCTTCTAGCTGACACTGATAAATTATGAAATTTTTTACATGAATAAAAATAGTGCGGTAAATTACAAAGTGCACATTGTTTGGACGTTGCAATGAATGACTTTGATAATGTCATTTTTTGCACCCTTTTTTTTGTTTCCTTTGATATTTGCTCTATATCTTGTTTATCCCCTTCTGAATTTTGTAAGTGTTGTACTTTATGATCTATAAATGCTAAGAATTCCTGTATCGTAGAAAATTCGTTAACTGGACCCTTTTCTTGCCATTCCTTATTTGTGTAATAATCAAGCTTTTTCTCTATGGTACAAAGTAAAAGAACATCCCAATGTTCAACTGGATAACCTAACATACCTAGTGACTTTAAATTTCTTTTTATACAACCTGACAATTTCTTTAATTCTAAACTATTTACCTGAGTTATTTTTGGATATTCATATATAGCTTCAATATGATCACCTGCAATAAGTTTGGGCATTTCGCAATTGCGGGCACTCTAACCTAACCAAATATATTTTCCTCAAGGCACTGCGTCACAGTGTTGCCGTATTTATTTTAGTAAAATATGTATATGAATGCTACAAATATAAATTTACTTTTACGAAATAATAATTTGTGTTATGAGAAGCTACAAATTTTAAATAAGCATAAAACTCGCCGTATTTTTTTTTTGTAAAATGTATATGAAGGTTTAAAATATAAGTTACTTTTACGAAATTATAATTTGTATTATGAGAAGCTACAAGATTTAAATATATTAAATAAATTTTTTATATCATTTTAATCAGATGTATTGTATATGCATTTGATTATTATCTTTAATAACTAAAATCTTTGAATTTTTATATAATTTCAATGTATTTCTATTATATACGGTAATTTAATTATTACTATTAATTTTTTATATCATTTTAATCAATTTTATTGTATATGCATTTGATTATTATCTTTAATTTAACTAAAATATATACTATTAATTTTTTATATATCACTTTAATCAACATTTGTATATTATGTGAGAGTATGAAAAAACTGGAGACTTGGCAACTCTGACACCATTTAAGCGAACGTTAAATGTCATATAAATGCTTGGTTAGGTTAGAGTGCCCGCAATTGCGAGATGCCCATAAGTTTTTTCTTTTCATATGTTTCAGATAAAAGTTGCCATGCAATAGTAAAATTTTTGCTATAACTACGTTCCACGTTTAGAAAATAACATTGCGAAGATAGGCCCATGTATTTCTTATGGACGATAGCAACGCGGCGTTGCCACGACACACACAAGCACAATTTAGGGTTGTATAATTTGTATTTTCGTTTCCACAAACATGAATTAAATTAATGTTTTTTAACGTAATTGTCCAAAAGTGCCCATTCGAAACACGAGATGAAAAGTAGGGAAAATGATTTTAATTAGATAAATAGTATTTACAAAAGATAATTTTATTTTATCTTATTTTCATTATAGTAACGACAGTTTATTTGTTTTTCGGCGAGAATACGATATGCCATGAATCATATAAATCAGTAGAAAATATTGACGGCTTGGAATGTATATATCTAATTACTAATTGCAACTTAAAATAATACGATGTGCGTATGTCAGCTATTTTATGTCGTCTCTGCTCTGACTACATATTGATAATAAAGCTTTTATTTAGTAGTTATTCTGACTTTTACAGTTAAATGTTAATTGAAAATGAAAATTTAAAAATTAAGCAAAGGGAATATCTTGGACATCCGTGCAAAAGAGAGTGTTTGAGAGTTTTGGCAACACTGATCTCCATAAGCGTAATGTTATTTTCTTAACTTGAAACAAAGATTAGTAGTTTTTAGCTGCTCCAGTTCATCCTGGGCATCCCCTATTAAAGCCCTTTTTAAATAGTGAAGCTTGTCAACATCATTTAAATCAGAATTTTCTATGACCATACTAGTAAAACTATCTCTAAATTCTAACCAATGTTGATAACAACCATTAAAAGTTGGAATCTCCAGTGGTGGTAACCGTACATTTTTTAAGCTATTTCGATCTAAACTAGTATTGTGACCTGAGTTTGCTATAGTATCGTTTAAATTAACTTCATTCTTTAATATAATTTCTGCAGAGGCTATTAGTTTAAAATATGCATCCTGAAAATCTAACCTTTCTTGTAATTGTTCCTCTGATGTGTCTAATAAGTCAATTTCACTTTGTATTTGATCAAAATCATTCCACCATTCTTTGCATTTGTCAACCCTAACTTGTAATTCTACTATTTTATCGTGAGTAAAACTGCTTATAAATGAATCAAATTTTGTAATTTGTGCCTTAAAGATACCACGCTTTCTTTTTAAAACTGTTAACTGATCCATTGCATCGACTATGTATAATATCAATAAAGTTTAAAGCTTGCTATTAATAAATCCTAACAAACCGAAATTATAATAACCTTGTGACACAAATTAATGTCTCTCTTATTTCAGGATAGGTATTATAGGAATGAAAAATGTGTACTCACCACATACCATGCCATGTTAACTTTTTCACTTGCCGATAAAAAAATACACTAACACTTGTTGCTTGTTGATAAAATCCGTTCGAATGAGCATGAATAAAGTTTTTATTTCTGAGCCTTCAGAAGTTTGTGGACTGTATTTCTTGTATGAAAAATAATTATTCTGACTGTAACACTTTTTATTATAATAATCTTATAAAAGCTTAAAATTAACAAAAACAAAAAAGAATGTCTTATTTCTTCTGCTTGACAGCTACGCGTAACGCGTGGTGTCGTTGTCGCTAGTGTTCGATGCATGCGCCCTGTGTCCCGTGCAGGGACGGCTCTTGCACTGTTGACTGCTGAACACATATGATAAACGCGAAAAAGTCCAACGTTCACTGTTAGACATATGCCTCCCGTTAACTGCTCACATTTACTGCTCCTTGACGCTGTGACATGAATGGGATAGGATTTAACAAACAGAATGACAGAAAACTAAAGAAGACAGTGTATCACACGTGGAATGCATCGTAGAACGTGAACTATTGGCGTAAAATTATATGATGATCATAGATTTTTCTTTAATACCCAGCAAACGACTCCCTTTGTAAAGGTACATAGCCTTGCATCTGTGCGGGAAAAAGTCGATCATTCGTTCGAATTTTGGTTCGAATATTGGTTATATGCTATCATACCCAAAGGGCACCATAAAATATTTAACGTTATAATATGATTTAATGTAACGGTATGACAGTATGACAAATCTTTTGGTTTCGCACGGGAGCACGCCTATGTACCTTTACAAAGGGAGTCATGCATAACCTTTAAGTTGACCGTAATACATAACTGCAACAACACGAATGTTGACGACTTGCGTTAGTATACACAGTGCATTCGATACGTTTTTTAAACATGATTAGAACATTGTTGACTGGAGGCTATTACAGAAGTTTTTAAAATTTTCGCGTATCACCGCCTTTTCTGTAGATGGCGTGAATATTGTTATCCATTTAATTTTTTTCCACAATTAGTTAAATAATTTCTGCTGGTATTTGGTCTAAGCCTACTTCTTTTCTCCATTCAAGGTGTTTCATAGGTAATTCTACTTCCTCTGTATGGTGCCTTGTATATCTGTTTTGGTGATTTTCGGCTATTTCATCTCTTATAACAAAAAACAGTTGTTTCGGATACCTTTATCGCGTTTCTTTTTTTATGGATGAATATGCTGCCATTTTCATCGTCTACTATTTCATATGGAGCTACACGATCAAGAATTCCAAATCAAGAAAACACAAATAACACTCCGGATTATATTATATAACTAATAGTCGGAAAATGAAGAGCCAGAGGTAGATGGCAAAGAAGCCAAAATCCTAATGACAAACACACATATAATCGACTAATCGGACAATTAAGATCAGCGCTACATGATGCACGCAATGGCACATTTGAACACTACATTAGTACATTGTCTAAAGATCATTCAGTATGGATAGCAACAAAAACCCTTAAAGAGACCTGAAGAACACAACTCACCAATTAAAAAAGATAACGTTAGTTGAGGAAGATCAGACCAGGAAAAAAGTCAACATTTTCAGAATATTTAGCTAGTATTTTTAAAATATACCAACCAGATAATAATAATCAAGCAATAGAACACTGAAAACTTTTGTTTTTAACTGTCCGCCCGTCAATGACTTGCCATTTTTTAAATAACACTTCATATTGCACTTTTTTATTGTATTTTTCTCATTTTTCAAGATAATTCTTGTAGGAATATATTTATTTATAACATACGGTCTTATGGTCTCACGACAAGTATTACGGCTTGATTATACAACCTAAATATATCTTGTACCGCACTGTTAATTGAAAATTATGTTTGTAATGCGATAAGAGGACCGTATATACGAGACACCAGTGACTCATGCCACACATAAAACTTCGACAGGAAATTCTATTTCTACATTTCTATAAAAAAAAAAATAGATTACTTGTTTTGTGTAATAATTTAGTTTAGGTCGAACAAGAGTTGCAGTAAAAAATTTTTCAGAAATAGAATATAAATCATATTTCGAATGCTTTGTGAAAGATAACCAATTTATAATATTCCCGACAACGTAAAAACACATTTCTTTTAGAATATCGGTCGATGAATTCAAATCATAGTTCAAGAAACGAATTTATGTGTAGATGTTCTACTACAAAAAATACAAAACCAAAATCTAGATTAAAAAAGTCGCAACTACTTATACTAAAACTTCACCCCATTATTGATTTCACAAGTGATAAAATGGGTCGACAAAGAACCAGTTTTAATTATTACAACATTTAAACATAAAACCCCCCTTTCAGACGAGGATACTGTATCCGAGATACGCGTATCCGAGACGCAGATATTACATAGACTCAAATGGAGCTTTTCACACGGGACGCGCGAGTGATACAGTATGCGAGATACCGAATGCGTATGCCAGATACAGAAGAAACATTACGTTAAATGAACGCTTTCAGACACAAATTCTGTATCTCGCATACAGTATCTCAGATACAGTATCCTCGTCTGAAAGGGGTGTAATAGTTGTATCTTGGTTTATTCAGGTGGAAAGAAAAATTAGACACAAGTGCTAAAACCACAAAC